TCCCTATGATTATTATAATTTTAAATAAGATAAAACGTTGAGGCCCTTATTATAATAACGAAGGATTTTCCAACAATATGCCGGACGTGTATAGTAAAATGACGGATATAAAAGTTAACAAAAAAATTGATCAAAAATACATTATCCAATTTATCACTGTTTCTCGCGAAACCCCTAGCGACCTCTTACGGAACTCCAGGGTTCCGAGGAACACCGGCTAAGAATTACTGCTCTAGATGTACAACCTTCAGTCAACTTATTACCGGTTTCAGTTTAAGAGCACTTAGAATGTGTAGCCCTCAGTATTTACTTGATGAAGAGAAATACAGCGAAACTACTTTCAAACCCCTCCAATATTCTAATTATTTTATATATAACACTCGAGTGTCAAAAGGACGGTTTTTCCTTTGACACCGCTATTATTTTAACTACCTTCACTCCTCGGCAATATTTATTGTTTTAAAAGCGACGGTTTGAATTTTAGTAAAACCTAAACATATAAAAGTGAATTTCTACATTTTCATTATTCTTGAGAATAGACAACAAAAATATTAAACACGATTTATTTATTATATTATTTATTGGAATGGTTGATTTGAATTTTATAAAATGGTAAATAATTATTTCCTTATAGTTGGTTCACATATTTTAATAATTGAATTAATGTTTATAAATTTATGAATAAAAAATTGTTTTCATATTTATTTCTTTATAAATTGGCAAATTATAGATAATGCATTGCATTAATTTTAAATTGTTTTAGGTTTTAGAATGTTGTAAATATGAAATTATTCTTGTAAATAAGTAATGTAATAAATTAATAAACAAACAGTATTTATATTTTTGTTGTAAATTATCAAGAAGAAATAGAATGTATACATTCCCTTTTGATATGTTTAGGTTTTATTGAAATTCTAATCATCGCTTTTTAAAACAATAAACACTGCCGAGGAGGGAAGGTAGTTAAAATATTAGCGGCGTCAAAGGAAAAGCTGTCCTTTTGACACTCCTCTTTTTGCGAGCACAAAAGTCCAAGTTTGCTAAAAAAATGTTAAAACTAGTTACATAAGACTACTTACTAAGTCAATCACGAGTATAACAGAAAATAATGTATCTAAACTTAATATTAAATTTGTTACAACTACTTCAAAGACAATAATATATTTCCTAATCCAAATCTAGAGCTTTTTCACTGCTGAAGAGACCCGACACCCCGATTGACCATGTATTCAGGGATGTAGGGTACTCATAATTTACTCTGAAGAACTCATCCTCTCTTTGACATTTGTTATTTAACAACTCTTGTTTTATTTGTACTGCTGGGGTCCCACTTATATTTATCAACAGACAAGTGGAGCTGACCATTCGACTATGGCCACCCAGCTCATTATTTATCCATAGCTGGTGGGGGGGGGCGGTGAGAAGAAATGCAGTATGAATTCACATCTTACCCAAGAGTATATGTAAGCAAGTGAAAGTAATGACCTCGACTGGAATTCGAACTCGGCGCTTCGATTCCTCTACTGCACCTTTAATATTTAATTAATCCAAAACAAAATTATAACAACCTAGAATCTGAAGCAGGAGTTTACGCTATAGACTGTAATAAATGTCACAAGAAATATATCGGTGAAACTTCTAGGAATTTAAATAAAAGAATATACAAGCACAAAAAGGGAAAACACATCTAACGCATTAATCGTTCTTTGTAATAGGTCTGACCATAATTTCGACATCATGAATTAAAAGAGAAAGTAAATTATTAAGGCGAAAATATATTGAAAGTGCACTAATTCCTGAGTCTTCGACGGTAAATTTGCGTCTAAGTTCATGCAGCGTATCACTTTTTTTAATAAATCTGCTGCTATTATAATGCGGAAAGTTAAAAAAAAAATAGCGATAAAATTTTTAAATATCACTTGCATTTCCATGTGGGGAGATAGATAGATAGATAGATAGATAGATAGATAGATAGATAGATAAACAGACTGTGATAGACAGACTGTGATAGATAGATAGATAGATAGATAGATAGATAGATAGATAGATAGATAGATAGATAGACTGCGATAGATAAACAGACTGTGATAGATAGATAGATAGATAGATAGATAGATAGATAGATAGATAGATAAAAACAGACTGTGATGGATTGATATACATACTAGTTTTCTTTATAAGCATTGTTAAAAATCTCGGAATATTTTGTAAAGCCCTTACTTTGACTTTTTTTTCCAGTAATCATAAAAAAATGAAAATATTTTAAGCATTCTAATATTTTATTGAGCTTTACGTATTCTGGCTTTTATAGTCTAAATTACGATGTCGTTTGTTGAGGAAATGCTAGAAAATTACCAATAAATTTTTAAATTTACTATAGTTACCGCTCTTATTTTTCAATAACGCCGTGTATGGACGTTCATGTTTACTAAAACCCACACGTTTATACGCATACAAAAAAAATTATAAATTCTTCTTAAAATACTAGGGTTCACTCAACTGTAGTAATGTATATATATATATTATTTAATAACAATGACACTTAAACTACAAATTAGTACAAGATTTTAGAATTTTAAAAGATTGAAAACTTTATAAATTATTCTAATTAAAATTAAAAATAAATGTAAACAATTCTTGTCAAAATTCATTATTCCTAAAAAAAATCAAAATTGTAAGACAATGGTATCCATAATATATTTCATTCATAAAAGCAATTAAAAGCTTTTTTAAATAAATAATTTCTTTCGTTTAACGAATCAGAATAGATTTTCTATAATTGGGTTCCTGTTTAAGCCAAAAGATTTGATTATTTAAATTATACGAGGTCTTGTCCCTAACTCATATAGACATTAAATCCAATAAAAAAGAATTTCTCGAAATATCATAAAATTAAATGAGTGGTGGTGGTGGTAGTGTGTCTCTGTGTGTGTGTGGGGGGGGGTAACAGATATAAAAGAAATATGATTCTAAAAAGAAACATTTGTGAAGAAGTTCAGAAAGTTTTATTAAAATTCGACTATTTAATTTTTGCAATGATTTCCAAATCAGTGAATTTGCCACCATAAAAAGACGTTGAAATCTCCATACAAATATATGGTCCCACTCTGACATCAGAAAAAAACAAGATATTTAAACACATTTTGGAGAGTTCTTAAAAGGAGATATATATATGTATAGTTTTAAAAACAAGTAATGTATTGATTTTAATTTTAAAAGTCTCTAGGGCCCTTTCAGCCAACATCTCATCAGGAGACAATCGTTGGATTAGCGAAAAGAATATTAACGATAATGAAGAGCAAAAAAGAGGGGGAAACACTAAAATAACAAACAAGTATAGATACTTGTAACGAGGGGAGGGGAAATAATCGTGTAAATAAATTAGCGAGGGACAGTTAAAATAAAATATCCCCCCCTTTATTTTAACTGTCCCTCGGTAATTTATTTAGAGAGAGAGAGAGAGAAAAGAGACAAAATATATATGTAGAGTACGAGAGAGAGAGAGAGAGAGAGAGAGAGAGAGAGAGCTAGCTAGCTATATAGATAGATAGACGCTCGATGAAAAGGCGATTTATAAGCCAATGCATTTGGGTACTTTGTGTGTAACGATTAAAAAAGCTAGTTTCGGAATCGTTACTACAGTGCAGTGAGTTCGTTCCACAATGGCCGCATTCCTCTTCCACGTACAAAAAGTAAAAGAGAGAGTTTTTTTCTTTTTTTTCCGTGGAGCAGTGGCTACAAAGATCGTCTTGTACACCGTCGCAAATGTAAAAAATGTAATCCTCATTAAAACCGGACGTGTATTTCTTTTTTTAACCCTGTGCCCACTTATCTAAACATTCAGCAGGATTTTTTGTTTTATAAGATTTATTTTTTACATTAAATAACCCAACAATAGTCTATAGTGATTTTCCAAGCGTAGCTTAGATGTGGCACAAGGCTGAAAGCCTGAGGCACCTAGTGAAGATCGAACTCACTACTCAGTCGCAATTGTTCCAGCGAGACAAGCTTGCTAACCATTACACCGCCTCGAGGTGGCCACATCAATAGTCTATATGTCTTTAAATTAACCCATATTTAATAATAATAATAATAATTTGTTCTCACAAGTACAGCCCACACTTTACAAAGGGCTTTATCTATGTAAATTTTTATTTATTTATTTATTTTTCTTTTTTTTTTCTTGGAAAGTTTCATGATGCCATTTCTAACCTTAGGTCTCTGGGCGGGACCCGGAAATCAAAGGAAATAATAATAATAATAATAATAAAAACAATCAAAGCTTACCACCCAGACATTGTTATTAGACACCGCAAACAAAAAACCTGTCTCCTTATTGATATGGCAGTCCCTGCGGACTGCAATGTATCTTTGAAGATATTCAAAAAGCTGTCAAAATACAAGAACCTTGAAATAGAAATCTCAAAAATGTGGCACATGGGAACATCAACAATCCCTGTAGTTGGAGCCCTCGGATTAGTTGGAAAATATTCCAGTAGACTAATTGAAGGGATTCCTGGAACCCCATGCCTTAAAGAAATACAAAAAATTGTTCTCACGAGTACAGCCCACACCTTACGAAGGGCTTTATCTATGTAAATATATATATATATATATATATATATATATATATATATATATATATATATATATATATATTGTCAGTGGAAAATGTCACGATGCCATTTCTAACCTTATCTGTCTGGGCATTCCCGGAACGAAATGTGTACACATCAGAAATCAAAAGAAATCAAATAATAATAATAATTGTGTTCGCCACAGTAGCGGTCCAAATTTTGGTGACCCTAAAGCTTAAACCGATACCGTGTCCCTTTTGCAACTAGCACCAATAGATTTGATGATCCAACTGCCAAAGTGCAGACTGTGTATAGATTCTGTCAAGCTCATCAAACCAACATATAACTCGGGGTTTCAGGCACTGAAAGCCCCCCACCCGACAAATTTTGAAATTTGACGAATTACAAAGGAATTTTGAGGCCTACGGCCACAGGACGTTGAAACAACGGTTCCCGTACAATCACCGAAGTTAAGCAACTTCGAGCCTGGCAAGTACTTGGTCGAGTGACCGCTTCGGAACACCAGGTACTGTAAGCTTTGATGTGCAGATGGGGTAATGGATAATGGCCCGAAATTGTTAATCAGAGAACCGAGGTTCCAATTTCCTTTGTGAAAGGTATGAATCCACCTCTTCAACCATTAATATCTCCCCCACCCCTGAAAAATTCTTAAAATCTAAAAATATGTTCTGGCTTTAAATAACCTGCAAAAGGTTGATAAGCCGTAGAAAACGAATCAATCAATCAGTCATATGAAATAGGTATTAGAGCATATTCTTACTATAACATTAGGTTCTTTAACAGATTCGATTATGATTCTATCTCTAAAATGGCGTTATTTTAATAACAAGCACTTAAAATAATTAATTCATTAACAATTACAGGTGATTCAGTGTCTGTCTATATTTCTGAGATGAGATAATTATGTACACTATTTACAAGGACACATGGCACAGTGGATAAAGGCGTTGGTTAGATCCAGTGACAGGGCCCGAAGAGTGTGAGTTCAATACCTGGTTAAGGCAGTGGAGAACTTGCAGAGGGAAATTAACAGGAGATAACTGATATCCATTAAACATGGCACGTGGAACTAGAACAGTCTACCCCAGTGAGCGAAATAAGTTCGACATTCCAACCACCTGAAGAAGGCCGAAGCGCACAACGGCCGAAACGTTGTAATAAATATGGCGACAAAGATGAGGACAATAATCCGAATAATGTAAATAGTGTAATTATAGGTGAATTTTGAGGCTATATGAAATGGTTATTAGAGCATATTTTAAGGTCAGTATTACCTATTTCAGCCTATTGGATTATGATTCTATCATTTCAGCCCATTGGATTATGATTCTACCACTTCCTCCTTTTTTTGTTTGTCTTCCCCCTCCCCTTTTTTTCGTTTCTCTTCTTTCACTCTCCTTCTGTTCAAATCTACCCACTGTCATATTAAACAAAACCCAAAACATATTTTATAATATTTATATTCGGACTTAATCCCGGAAATTATACAAAACATTTATCTTTATTGTTTCGTCACGCTATCTACGTGTGACAACAGTCTATGTGTATGCGTGCAGATTAAAGAAAGGGTTCATTTTAAATAAGTTTGGGTACATTTAACCCCATTTAGCCGATATACATTCGCAGCTTATAAGACTTTGTACTTGACCTGTGAAACAGCGGTCACCCACCTGTTCTAGTTTAGGTATCTGACCAGACAAAACGTTGCTTAATTACCCTGGGCAGAGCAAAAAATAATGCCGTTGTAGATAAGAAAGAAACGAATAACTGAATTTTTTAAACTAAAAAAAATAAAATAATAATTATAAGTTTTTATTGAACTTCAGAAATTATTCGGTAATAAATAGAATAATTTTAAAATATTTTTTTTAAATTTGGTAGAAATGTTTTTTTTTAGGTTTGTTATTAAATTAAAATATATACGCAAATGTACATATTATACAAGTTGAATGAAACTGAAATAGATGTTTGTGTATCTAGGACTATTTTTTTTTAATATCTGGCAACAAACCTGGGATAACAGGAAAATCGACGTTATTTGAAGTTATTTTTTAACTCCTTCATTGAAATAATATATTTTAAATGGAAAACCAATTTAGGTTTTGAAATTTGATCATCCCACTCAGTCTGGACAGCTAAAACCAGAAAGATATATTGATATTTGTTACCCTCCACTGAGCAATAGAACCATAAATTGAATAATATGCACAAGCACACGCATCTGCACACACAATTTGATGCTTATCAACCTTTTGCAGACATATATATATATATACTGAGTGGGAGGGGAATACATTATTTCAATGTCTTATATCTAACAGTCGGTTCTCGGTTTTGATAGGTACTGACCAGACAAAACGTTGCTTAACTTCGGTGATCGAACGGGAGCCGGTGTGTCCGTAATACTCATCGAGTTAGATATAAGACATTGAAATAATATATTCGCCTCCCACTCCAGTCTGGACAGCTCCTACCCTCCACTGAGCAATAGAACCATAAAATTGAATAATATATATATATATATATACATAACGTTGCGTTACGGCTACATAACGTTGAAATATATATATATATATATATATATATATATATATATACATATATATATATATATATATATATATATATATATATATATATATATATATATATATATTAAACATTAAGATAAAATCAGAAAATTATAATATTTTATTGAATTATCGTAAATTATTTGATAATAAATAAAATTATCTTTTTAAGGGTTTTTTTTTTTTTTAATTTTGTTCAAATACATTTGTAGGTTTGCATTTGATTAAAGAATACGCAAACACAAAAACGTATATACACACAATTTGAATCGTCGGGAGGGCTAATTTATGATATAAGAAGCCGAAATGCACGACTCTTTGAAGTCTTCTTTTTTTTCTGATACTTATTCAAACTGAATATATTTGCTAATAAATGTCGTATTTTAAATGGACAAACAATTTAGATTTGAAATTTGACCATCGTGTTGTCAGACAAAATGACTGGAACCAAAGTAGTTATTAATAATTTACAGTACTTCGCAAAAACATTTAAAATAATATTACAATTATCATCTTACCGTCAGCGACCCTACCTGTGAATTCATTATGATTCTTTTTTGAGTTTTGAGGTTATTATGCTTGTATTTTCTACTAGTATGTTTTTACTATATATATATATATATATATATATATATATATATATATATATATATATATATTTCTACCGTCTTGCTGTCAGCGAGCTTATGAATTCATTATGATTCCTTCTATATTTAAACGAAATATATTTCCTAATAAATGCAGGATTTTAAATGGATAAACGATTTAGATTTGAAATTTGATCGTATTGTCGTTAGTGAATTAACAGGTAGCAAACGAGCATAAACAACCTTAACAGACACAGGTGAAGTAGATATTAAAATTTGTTCCAACACGGATATACATATATAAACATACGTATATATTTAATCCTTTGGAAAGGCACAGAAAGATCTGAGTACAAAACCTTTGTCGCCAAACACATTTCCAGTGACCGATAATTACGGACCGTAAAAGCAAAATGATATGAATTATAACTTAGCCATATATTTAGAACCTTCTGTATAATTACGGACTTATATATTTATATATTTACGTATGTACATCAGAAAGTAAGTAGCCTGAAAAATAATGGTAAAAAAGACGCTTCTTTTACACAGTAAATATTTATTTTCAATATAATTTCTTTCTTTGCAAAACGCACTTAATTCGGGGTTGAATGTTAATGACAGAATTCGAACATTTTACAGTAAACATTCCAATTGAAGATTCAAACAATAATTTACGCCTAGGCTGCGGACTTATTGGTCAACACGCGAATATTGGCAACTAATTATATATAATAAAAACTGTGCATATATATGATTGTGTGTATATGTGCCAAAATATATATATATATATATATATATATATATATATATATATATGATTGAATAAATTACAGACATTATTTCTGCTAATTTTTAATAAAATCCATTCATACTCACGAATAAACTTCCGTGTATTGATGTTAAAAGATGAGAGAAATGTGCTATAGTTGTTTAAATTTTTTAAGTACTTGGGAAATGAATATAAAAGAAAATTAAACAACTATAGCACATTTCTCTCATCTTTTAACATCAATACACGGAAGGTTATTTGTTAGTATGAATGGATTTTATGAAAAATTAGCAAACATAATGTCTATAATTTATTCAATCAATCGTATGCATATATATATATACTGAATAAATTACAGATATTATACTCACGAATAACCTTCCGTGTATTGATGTTAAAAGATGAGAGTAATGTGCTGTAACTGTTTAAATTATCCATTATGGAATTAATGTATAATTTTTTCACGTTCTAATGAACTCTTGACACATTGTCAACCGTTTTGCATTTAAAAGCATGTTGAAAAAAATTACGGTAATGGAAAACGACGAACATCTTTATATAAATGCTTATACTAATGAACAACATATAGTTTTGTACCACTTGCATTCCTGAAGATGATCTTGGAAGAAGATCGAAACTACTTGGGAAATTAAAATAAAATAAATTTAAACAGTTATAGCACATTTTTCGCATCTTTACATAACAATACACGGTAGGTTATTCGTGAGTATGAACAGATTTTATAAAAAAATTAGGAGACATAATATCTGTAATTTTTTCAATCAGACATGCCTAAAAGAGACTTTGCTGCCTAAATACACACACACACGCGCGCGCGCGCGCTCGCGCGTGCGCGTGGGCACATATATATATATATATATATATATATATATATATACACATATAAATATTTACTTAATTATCTTGCGTGTCTGCATTTTTTTTAGTTCCGCCGTTTTAGTTATTATTTGTTACATCGAATTTTTTCGAAGTGTTGGAAGAAAAACGACCCTTTAAAAGAATGCGTTCCGTCATTTTCAAATATATATATATATATATATATATATATATATATATATATATATATATATATATATATATATATATGTGTGTGTGTGTTTGACAAAGTGCGAAAAGTTTTCTTGTGACGAGTTTTATACTTAAGACCTCGTCGGACGAAACGTGACAAAAAAAAAACTTTTCTACTTTTCATACATCTTTCCTCCAAACAGATCTTGATATATAAAAAGAAATATATATCGTTATTCCATATATATATATATATATATATATATATATATATATATATATATATGTATGTATGTATGTATGTATGTATGTATGTATGTATGATATTATTATTTTTTATTATTATTGGTACACGTATTTGAAGTTTAAAAGTGAAACATGTTAGATTGATAAACGTTTCTTTGTTCTTTATCCTATCATCCTATCGGATCAATATTTGATCCCAAGTATCTCTCTCTCTCTCTCTCTCTCACACACACACACACACACACACACACACACACACACACACACACACATATATATATATATATATATATATATATATATATATATAT